TTTATGTTCGCCGAATTGACATGAAATCACTGACAAATATGAATATTCTGTATTCAACTTCATTGAAACGATCAGGATGGGTGTTATTTTTCCCCACAATGACCAAGTCGCTGCAAATGATCCCATGTTGATCCCATTTCATCTGATTTCAAATATTTCAAATGTCTGAAGTTAATAAATACATTCTCAGTGTTCAAGTCAATAATAGTCATATAAGAAAAGTACTGATCTAATAACAGAGATTTTATAAGGACTTTTCAATGTTCGACATCGCTCATGTGAAATACAGTAAACTGGATGTTGTGGTGCCGAGAGGCGGGGTATCAAAAGTACAAGATAAACTTTTATTTAGCATCTGAACACACTTGTAAACAACGTGATGCCCGGGAAGCGAAGACCCGGCGGAAACAGCTGGTCTGGTTCACTAAAATGTCCGTGTACAGTATATCTGGTACTAATGTATAGCGGATCTTTGTTAAGATCCATATGTCACGGATAGGATCATAGTCTGTGCTAAATAAGACATGTAATCATTTACAAAACATCACCATGTTGTTATGCGCATGTGCGAGATGTTATGCATGTGCGCATGTGCGAGATGGTCCGCCATGTTGCACAACTCAATTAAAAAAAGTGTGTTGGTGTATGATCACATTTGTATATGAAAATGTCAGAAGTTAATAAATACATTCTCAATGTTTAAGTCAATCACTGAAGATGCTTACGATATCATAAAATCTAAGTGTTAATGATTGTCAGTAGAGATGGGATGGCAGAAGGTGCTATATATATATATATATAATTCCAAAGCTGGTAAAGACCTTTCAAATTTAGCAATAATAGTCATATAAGAAAAGTACTGATTTGTTCTTGAATCAACTTTTTTATGGAAAATGTTTTATGTAATTTTATTTCATTTTAAATAAAATGAAAGACATTCACAGTTAATGTAATTAGATATACATTATTAATGCCATACATTTTTAAATGTAATTAGATATACATTATTAATGCCATACATTTTTGCATAAATATTTATTCAGTATGATAGCTGTCTAACAGAAGTTAAATCCATTTCTCACTTATTCTGACAATGTACTTAACCCCAAATAAAAGAACCCAATAAAAATAGTTGTTAAATAATAGTGAAGTCACGTTGTAATAACAATAACTCATCTCTCTCGGTTTTTTTTGTTTTCTTTGTGTGCTTTGCCAAAAGCCACTGTGTCAAGTGTCCTAGTTGGGTTGCCGTAACGAACAGCAGCCGGCTCTCGATTTTTAATCCTAATTTAATCGTTTATGTTCGCCGAATTGACATGAAATCACTGACAAATATGAATATACTGTATTCAACTTCATTAAAATGTTATTAACGTGCCTAAACTCAGTAATTCACTAAAAATTACTGATCCCTCCGCGTCGCGGAGGGATCTTGATCCCTGGGTGTTATTTTTCCCCATAATGACCAAGTCGCTGCAAATTATCCCGCTTATTACATGGCCACAAAGTAACGACATGACTCCCAATATTAATTAAAATGCTTTTATGGATTTAGAAAATATTTTTATTGATTTAAAAGATAGTTGTATGTATTGATTTAAATTTACATGCATCCGCTAAGAAAAATAGTCCGTTGTTACCGTTTTTTAAACAGTCAGAATGAAACGGCAGCTCTCAGCTGTGTGTTCACACTCCTAATGGCCCATCACAGCTCTCTCCCCCCCTAATCTTTCTTTTCCAACAGTTAAGTTAACTGTAGGTTACTCTGAGTGACAAGCTTACAGTTAGTGAAGTAACACTTTTTTTTTGTGAGTCACGACCTCGCTGTTTCATTCTAACATAACGCTCCAAATATGACTGTTTCCACTCGGACTTCAATACAGCAACACCATTGTTTGGTTTCCATGGTAGCGTGTCTCTTTAGTAGCGTGCACTCCTTTCCTGTAAATTACAGGTCCAGCCAGGCAAAACAGTAATATGAAATATGAACGTTAGTTTTTAACTGAAATGATCAAATAAAGTCAAAATGTCACAGTGTTTACAAACATTGACCATACCGTTCACCAGCCCCCACCCCACTATGTTGAGTATAGCCTACTCTTTGTTTAAAACGAATTGGCCATCGGAATGTGTGTGTCCCAACCCCCCCCCCCCTGTGATATCTCTTCTCCAGCAGTCTGTAGTTTGTGTTCGCAGATCATCACCCTTAGCTATTTCAATTACCTCTCAAACAACCTAAACTAGTTATAAATGTTTATTTTAAATAAAGTATGTTTCTTCACATGTTAGGTCTTGAAGGTTCATTGAAAGTAAAGCTTACTTTGGTTCTTGTGCTCTAGTTCTTCAAGGAATCTTACTGAGAACGTTATGTTTCCTCTGACTGCTTATGCCAAAAGCAACGACAAATTATCTGTTTTAAATACCTTTTTAGACCGTAAACTTTAGAATGAAATGTAATACCGGTTAGTTTTTTGTGTTCATACTGACAGAAGAAGAAATAAATTAAGTATGAATGAGAATAAGACTTATGTAATGTATTGACATTTGATCAGTAGCCTATAAATGTATTACTAACTTTATCCACTGTGGTACCGAAGCTTGGATCACCGCCAAAGACATGGCCGAGGGCAGCTGGCAGCTTTCAATATTTTTCATGTGCGATTCTAACGCTTTCAGAAAGTGAAACATACAGCATCATTTGAGAAAAATAAATCAAAATAAGCGTTATAAATGAACCCTGACTACTTGTGTTTAGGACTCACTGTATTTTGCTACTCTCTAGGTCTGTGGGCCAAATCCAGATATGGGGGGGGGGGGGGGGGGGTTCTGTTAGAAGGTGCGACGGGGGAGGGGGGAGAGAGTTAGACGCTCGTGAATTGTCAACGGGGGGGGCCTCTCTGCACGGAGGAGCCGCGGAGAAGTGAATCACAGTGATCTCATAAACATATGACCAATGTGCGAGGGTGATGACATCAGAGCATCGTCCTATGGGCTTAGCCCCGGACAGGTACAACAGGTATTCACTCAGAGGGGGGTAGTTACCCATTTACATGTCAAAAAGCAACAAACAGTGGACGGGTGGGGGAAGTATACTGAGAAGTATATAATGAGAACTGCTACCAATGGTGGCCTATTTAGTTTATTAAGAAATACATATTTGTAGCTTTTTTTTAATCTGCAGTAGGAAATGCAGAGAGTAGCGACAGGGCTGGTCCAACCTGATCTGTAAAGTGATCTAACTAAGTGCTATTCATTTTCTTGACGGGGAAGTGCAGTGTAAATGGGGGGCTTATATGCATTTGAAAAGCAATATAAATCACACAGTTCGTATACAATAGGCATTAAAAGCACCGTCGATAACCATTGCCCTTCTCCTATTCAAACCAAAAGAGAAAATGCAGATATTACACTCTGAAAAGAAAGGGTAGACATATCTGTACTCTTAGTGCCAAGTAGCTAAATAAATTCTCCAAATCAAACCAAATCAAACCAAGATATCTTGGGTATTCACTCAGAGGGGGGTCGGTGAACCGGGCAGAGTTTTTCGCCGGTCAACGTGTGTGAAAGTTTAAAGTTTATCATCTAAATTTGCCGAAACAAGTTTAATATTCTGAAAGCCAAGACTTTGTTTATTTGAAATCAGATGAAAACAAACTGTAACGGACCCATATTAATCATATTCCGAGTCATAAAGACTTTATTTAAAATAAACATTTATAACTAGTTTAGGTTGTTTGAGAGGTACAGCTACCATTCTTTAATTAGATGTTTGATAAGTGCATGCAGATCACATAAAACACGTACACAGATACATTATTTTGTATTTTTATTAAATTCGACAATGTCAATTTCACTTTCCACTATGTCCACCGTTGTTTTTCACAACCAATGGCAGAACTTTATTGAGGCCTGTAATTAGTCGTTGCGACTCTGAGCGTTAGGGAAACCCATCATCTTGATAAAACATGAACTTTTCTTGTTATCATTTTTATTGTGTTAACAATTAAGTTAACAGGTATTCACTCAGAGGGGGGGTCGGCTTCATAGTTGTATTTATCATCTAAATTTGCCGAAACAAGTTTAATATTCTGAAAGCCAAGACTTTGTTTATTTGAAATCAGATGAAAACAAACTGTAACGGGCCCATATTATTCATATTCCGAGTCATAAAGACTTTATTTAAAATAAACATTTATAACTAGTTTAGGTTGTTTGAGAGGTAATTGAAATAGCTAAGGGTGATGATCTGACTTGAAGTGTGTGTTTTTTGCTCCTCCCCATTCTTTAATTAGATGTTTGATAAGTGCATGCAGATCACATATAGTAAAACACGTACACAGATACATTATTTTGTATTTTTATTAAATTTGACAATCTCAATTTCACTTTCCACTATGTCCACCGTTGTTTTTCACAACCAATGGCAGAACTTTATTGAGGCCTGTAATTAGTCAACTACAGGTCTCTTGAAGTCTTTTTCTTCCAAAAAGCTTGTGACAAGATGTTATTGCTCTTGGGGCATTAAAAACAAGATTTTAACTTTAGTTTTTTATATAATATCTGCATTGTCTCTTGTGAAAAACTAAGTCTTAGTTTGGCCATAGTTATTTAATATATAGCGCCATCTCCTGGTTAAACCCTGAAATTGGAGAATAGTGGGAGGGCGTAACATTCCTGAATACTGGTCTTTGGCAGGTCTTAGGCAGGTAACTGGCTGGCAGTAGGCAGGAAGCTGTATGCTGGGGTCCAAAATAAGAGGCTCCATCTGTACAGGCTGGAAGTCTTTTTTTTGTTATTTTACATCTTCTTGTAGTTGTTTTACCTTTCTTAGTGCTCATTTTTCTGTTGTTTTGCATGTCTTTGCAGTCATTATGGGTCATTTTGAGACAACTCATTTCAGTTTTTTGTTTTTTTTCTTAAACTGAAGAAAAAGTAAAGCACATAGAGCTAATACAGTTGCTTTCAATGACTGTATAACAAAAGCTAATGTGTTTCTTCAGATGAAGGTAGGTAGGGGTGCAGCAGACGCCATTCGGAGCGTGCACGGGAAGGACTACACCGTAGGAACCACATCGGATATAATGTGTAAGTCCACACATCACAGATGGTCACAGATTTATTTGACTTTGTTGCCGTGCTAGCAGAAAAACAGCAGTGTACCCTCTTTCTACAGACGCCAACTCTGGTTCCTCCCCAGACTGGGCCCGGATGCAGGGGATCCCCTTAACCTACGCCTTTGAGCTGAGAGATGACGGGACGTTTGGCTTCGAGCTTCCCCAGGATCAGATCCAGCCGACCTGCGAGGAGGCCTACAGCGGAGCCCTGCACATCATCACCTACGCCCACGACAAGACCTTTAGTGGGGCCGCTGCAACCGCTGCAACCCTGTGGAGCATGCTGTTAGCCTTGGGTGTCACCGGCACCACCCTGATATGAGGGGGGGGAAATAACTCCAGCTGTTTTGCTTTAAGTTGCATTTATCTTGAGTATGTTAGGTTAGGTTCAAGGAGAGCTCCAGTTTTTTTTCAAAAGACAACTTTTTTTTTATCCTCATTTAAGCTATACATTTTTGTAGATTAATTATGATCAAAAGTATGTAAATGCATCGTACATACCAATGCACCTTTGATTCAATGTATTTTAAATAAATCTATAATTAATCATAGAATTCCATACAAATCTTATTTTAGGCAATGCCTGACACATTAGTATATCCACAAATCTTTTTTTATTTCATTGAATATGACGACATACAAATAACATCTGGCACCAAAGACAAATACAAAATAATTTAATATGTGAAACGTGTGTCTATATTGTTTTAACCACTTTTTCACAATAATAACATACATGAACTTTCAAATGAGTGGACATGTCCATAGTGAATGCACATTGCCTTATGATGTCACCTGAAAGACAGTCAAATGACTGACTAACTGATTCTACGTAACTACATCATTTTGGAACAAGTATTTATACTCTGTAACACACTTGTAAATTACCAAATTTCAGTAAACATACAATTTGTCATACATTTGAAACTAATGGGTAAAATAACCTTGTATCAATGGTACCTTATCAAATTAGTATTGGTCTCGTGTGGCGTTCCACAGGGATCAATCTTAGAACCCTTAAGGCCTTTGAACAGCAGGTCAATATTTTTCACCAGCAACAGAAACTTCACTTAAACCCCGACCCATAATAACCCTAAGGACCCTGAGAAATGCATGCCCCAAAAGTGTGCCAGTTACCCTCTGCTTTCCAGTCTGTCCAGATGTTGACAGCTTTTCCTCACCCCAAGTGCAACAGAGCGACCTGCCTTCCTCGTCTAAAAGCATTAGTGCTTTCATCCTTCATTACGAAGAAACAGCCCATGATGTGAGCTTTGATTCTGTCTGGGACACACACTGGGTTTGTGCACACAGCACAGAAACTGAGACAGGTCTTGTCTCTGTGTCTTATGAGCAGCTTGTGAACAGACAAAATGCGCATGTCAGCAAAGAAGTGGGAACAAAGAGTTGCAAGTGTTTTAAATTCATGGTATAACCAGCAGCCAGACTAACAAAGCTGAATAAAGAGAAAGCTGCTCTCCTACACTAACTAATCTCAAAGGGATTCAACTTTAAGATCTTAAAAGTGTGGCTTTCTTTTTTAAGGAATGTTCAAGTGAAGCAGATGACATAAAGTTTTTTCTTTTTTTTTTACAAATCTTTTTATTGCAAACAAGTCATAATCCAGCAAATGACAAGGAGTGAGAGCAGTAATAATCAATACTAAACAGTACAGATGTTACAATTACAATGGGGATCATTACAAAGGACCTCCTTGAAATTGCATTCACTTCAGGGTTCGTAGAGTCCTTGTTTACAGTCTTTTTTCTTTTTTTTTCATTTAACCCCCCCACCCCCCACCCACAGGTATGGATGGCCCCAAATAGTAAAATAACTGAATAAGTCCGATAAAATTATAAGTAAAACATAAATAATACTAAAAAAATAATAATAATTAAAATAAAATAAAAAATAAATAAAGTCGAGAGCGAAAACAGTCTGCTGGTATAAGGGAAGAAAATAATAGTAAACATTGTCGTCTTGGTGAGGAAAAAGGATTTCATTAAGAGCGAAAAGGAAATATAGATGAGTAGTCTAGGGCAAAAGACAAAGGATCATGGCGGAAGAGCAGTAATAATCAATACTAAACAGTACGAATGGTCACTTATATTTTATTTATTCCCTTTCAGAGAGCTACCTGCGACTCAACGTCAGAAGTGATAGGGAGTTCTTTGATAAGGCCCAATAGTGGGTCCCAGGTAGTACGGAAGGATTTCAGAGATCCTTTTAATGAGAATCTTAACTTCTCCATCTGAAGGCATTGCAAGACATCACGTATCCACTGATCATGTGTTGGTGGGGAAGCATGTATCCATTTCAAGAGAATAGAGCGTCTAGCTAATAGAGTGGTGAAGGCAATGACACGGCGTATAGTAATGGGCATATTCTCAGATGGAGGAAGGCCGAACAGTGCAGTCATAGGATTAGGGTTTATCTTTGTGTTATAGGCCTGCTCAATGGTTCCAAATATGTCAGACCAAAATGTGTCCAGCCTCGGGCAAGTCCAGAACATGTGCAGATGGTCAGCTGGGGATTGATTGCATCTGTTACATGCATCACTCCGATCCGGGAACATTTTAGCCAGCTTAGCATTAGTAAAGTGAGCTCTGTGGAGCACCTTGCACTGGAGTAGGCCATGTCTAGCACAGATAGATGATGTATGGACTAGGTTGAGAACGTCACTCCATTGATCATCGGAAATGTTGCTACCTAGATCACGCTCCCAGAGCTCCTTAAGAGGCACCATAGGGTCCGGACTCAGGGAACCAATCTGACCATAGAGAACTGAAACCAAGCGCTTTTGATCAGGGTCGAGTGTGAGAAATGTATCAATTGGCGATTCGGGGGGGCGGTTAGGAAAATGGGGAAATTGCTTTTGGATGAAGTGCCTGATTTGGAAAAAACGGAAGAGATGACTGTTTGGCAGGTTGAATTTGACTGACAGGGACTCAAAGGATGAAAAGACTCCATCCTCGTAGAGGTCATTAAGCGTTGCCAGACCATTGTTCAACCAAACGCGGAAGGCCGGGTCAGTACACGATGGGGAGAATAGGTGATTGTTTGAAATTGGGGCGTGAACCGAAGCTCTATGTAACCCGTGCTGTTTCCTGAATTGGAGCCAAATGCTTAAGGTGCTAGTAACAATTGGGTTACTCAAATGTTTATGGGTCGCTACAGGGAGCTGAGAGCAGATTATAGAGTGCAAAGGAGCAGAAGATGACAGCTCGATATGTACCCAAGGTGGGCAGGGGTCTGAAAGTTTATATTTAGCCCAATAGAGGAGTTTGTTAATATTAGAGGCCCAGTAATAGTGGCGAAAGTTGGGGAGCGCCAGGCCCCCTTCTGATTTAGGGAGTTGGAGACACAACCTTCTAATACGCGCAGGCTTGTTGTTCCAGATGAACGCATTCAACTGCTTATCAAGATCAGTGAAAAAAGATTTGTTGATGCGTACAGGGATGTGTTCGAAAAGGTAAAGAAACTTTGGCAGGATGACCATCTTTATAAGGTTGACGCGACCCGCAAGAGACAGGGGAAGGGAGGCCCACCTAGACATATCAGCTTTGCATTTATCTAGTAGAGGCTGAAAGTTTTTCGGGAACAGGTCTTTAAAAGAGTTTGCAACAAACACCCCCAAGTATTTGAACCCCTCCACAGCCCTTTTAAAGGGGAATAGGGATTGGGGAAGTGCCTCTGCCATTTTATTTACAAAAAATACTTCGCTCTTTTGAATGTTTAGTTTGTAACCTGATACACGGCCAAATTGATCTAAAATCGACAGTATGGGGGGGAGAGAGGATAAGGGGTTCGAGATCATAAGAAGAAGGTCATCAGCATATAGAGACAGTTTATGAACCAAGCCATGACGCGTAATGCCCTCAAACCTATCATGGCTTCTGAGCCAGATAGCGAGAGGTTCAATGGCTATATTGAACAACAGCGGCGAAAGAGGACACCCCTGGCGAGTACCACGTTGGAGAGAGAAAGGGGGAGATCGAATGCCATTAGTGTGTACAGAGGCAGATGGAGAGGCATATAGGAGTTTAATCCAGGAAATAAATTGGGAATCGAAACCAAATGTATCAAGACTAGAAAATAGGAAACCCCACTCAACCCTATCAAAGGCCTTCTCTGCGTCAAGTGTCACTATGACTTCGGGGGTGTTAGAGGAAGGAGAGAAAATTACATCAAGCAACCTCCTTGTGTTAAAAAAAGAGTGTCTCCCCACCATAAAGCCTGTTTGGTCCAGCGAAATTATATCTGGCAGTACGCGTTGGAGGCGGATAGCCAGTATTTTGGCCAGTATCTTACAGTCCACATTTAACAGTGAGATTGGTCTGTAACTGCCACATGAAGTAGGATCTTTGTCTTTCTTGAGAAGCAAGGAGATAGACGCAATGGACAACGTTTCTGGCAATCGGCCTGTCTGGAGAGTCATTGTACATCCTTGCCAAAATCGGGGCTAACTTGAAAGAATATGCCTTATAGAATTCAACTGTATAGCCGTCAGGCCCAGGAGACTTCCCACTTTGCATAGATTTTATTGCATCATGTATCTCAAGGGTGGAGATGGGGCCGCCCAATTCGCCAGCGATGTTCTCGTTAATTTTGGGGTATGTTAAGGAGTCAAGAGGATTGGGGGTCGTGGCAGGGATCGGGGGACAATCCGAAGTGTAGAGATTGGTGTAAAATTCAGAGAAAGCCCTGTTAATATCAGCTGGGTTAGAAGTAAGGTTGCCATCGGACAATCTGATTTGGGGAATCAATCTGGACGCACGAGCTTGTTGAGCTAGGAGTCTACCAGCTTTGTCGCCCTGCTCAAAGTAACGTTGCCTACACTGTCTCAGTTGTCTCTCAACAATGCCTGTCATCAGAAGGTCGTGTTCTGAATGTAGCAGGAGGCGTTTTTTATAGAGAGAAGGAGAGGGAGAGGAGGAGTACGTTTCATCGAGTAAGCGAAGCTCAACACAGATTTCTGAAAGCCTAGCCTTTTCCACTTTTCTCTTACGTGAAGTGTACGAAATGACCTGTCCCCGTACAGTGGCCTTAAGAGCCTCCCAGAGAATACCGCTACTAACGTCGGAAGTGTCATTAATTTCAATGTAGGAAGAAATCTGAGTGGAAAGATAGTCTCTAAATTCACTGTCTGACAGCAGGGGAGAATTGAATGTCCATAATGGAGGGGGGGACATACCAAGAGGGAAATTAATGTCAACCGAGGTGGGAGAATGATCTGAGATGGCTATTGGATGGTATACGCATAAATTGACTAGATGAATCAAATTGTTATCGAGTAAAAAGAAATCAATTCGTGAAAATGTGTGGTGCCTGTGCGAGAAGAAAGAAAATGCTCTACTTTGCGGGTTAATAAATCTCCAGGGGTCTGAGAGTCCTAATCGTGATGCATTGTGCAGTACTACCTTGGCCGAATTGGAGAGAGTAGCTTGTGTGAGCGATGACCTGTCGAGACTCACGTCCTGGACCAAATTCCAGTCACCAGCCATAATAATACGATGGTTGTCGGCGTTGGGAATTTGAGCGAAGAGGTTCACAAAAAAATTACCATCATCCCAATTGGGAGCGTAGATAGAAGCTAGTATCACTGGTGTGTTCTGTAGCGTGCCCGAAACTATGACATAACGACCATTAGGATCCGATATCGAATTTGTCAGTTCAAATCTGACATTCTTGTGAATAATAATTGCTGCCCCTCTGGCTTTGTGGGAGAATTTTGAGTGGAACAAGTGACTCATCCATGCCCTCTTAATACGAAGGGTATCAGAAGATTTAAGATGAGTTTCCTGCAGGAATATGATATCTCCATTCAGATCTTGCAGCCGTGTCATTACTTTACCAATTTTAGCAGCGTTGTTCATGCCCTTAGTATTCCAGGAAATCAGGCGCACTCCTCTACCTGTCGTTGTCA